AGCCAGGCATTGGTGCTGCACGCCTTTAATCCCAGCACTCGGGAAGCAGAGGCAGGCGGATCTCTGTGAGTTCGAGGCCAGCCTGGTCTCCAAAGCGAGTGCCAGGATAGGCTCGAAAGCTACACAGAGAAACCCTGTCTCGAAAAACCAAAGAAAGGAAGGAAGGAAGGAAGGAAGGAAGGAAGGAAGGAAGGAAGGATGGAGGGAGGGAGGGAAGGATGGAGGGAGGGAGGGAGGGAGGGAGGGAGGAAGGAAGAAAGAACGAAAGAAAGAAACTGCAGAACGGTGTCCCAATCGGCTATACCATTTTGCATCCCCACCAACATTTGTTGTCATTGTTTTTATGTTCTTCATCGTCAGTGTGTGACAGTATCTATAATGGTCAATGGTGCTTGCCAACTTGAGGGGATCTGGAAGAAACTGAGAGGTAATTGCTAAGCCACCTGTACAGGATTTTCTTAACCAGGTTATCGCAAGTGGGAAGGCTCACCCGGAATGTGGGTAGAACCTTCTGGTAGCAGCTCTGATAGTAGGAGGTGTGACAGAAAGCTTTGTGTTTGCCCCATTGCCCCTCCGTGTCATTAACAAGTCCCATCCTGTTGCCTCTGTTGCTCCTACGTTCCTTCACTGGTATCAGAAGCCAGCTCTACAGGTTAGCACTGTTGAAGAATGCAGCCTCATGGACTTTGCAAGCGGCTATGGGGCTATCAGTCTTCGGGTGTGAAGGGAGATATTGTTAGACTAGACTGACTGTACTTTGTCAGCCAATTTAATAAGGATTTTAATATATATCTATCAGTTCTGTGCCTCTAGAGAACCCTGACTCACAGCGTCTTGTGGTTGATTTAATTTGTAGTTTTAATGACATATGGGAGTGTCTTTCATATGCTTGCCATCTGTACATTTTCCTTAATAAGCTATCTCTTTAGGTCATGTGTGCATTTTTCTTTTGGGGGATATTTTAGCAGTTTTTTTAAAATCTCTTTAATATTTGAGATTATAATATAATTACATTTCTCCCATTCCTTTCCTCCCTTCAAACCCTCTCCCGTAGCCCTTCCCACTCTCCTTCATTCATGGCCTCTCTTTTCATTGTTATGTTCCTGCACATATGTATATACATTAACCTTAACCAGTTAATGGCTGACCAGTGCATGATAGTAACACTATATCACCAAACCCATGACCAGTGATGGAACCAAATACCCTTACAATAATTCATTTTAACCCTTTTTGAAATATGGCATGACTGCAACAAATCAGAAAACACAGGAACCAACAGCAGGAGGAAGAAGGAAGGAAGAGGAAGATGAAAAAGGAGCAGAAGAATAAGAATAAGAAGAAGAAGAAGAAGAAGAAGAAGAAGAAGAAGAAGAAGAAGAAGAAGAAGAAGAAAAAGTCATCGTCGTCATGGTAACGCCTTTAATCCTAGCATTTGTGAGGCAGAGGCAGAGGGATCTCTCTGAGTTAGAGGCCAGCTTGATCGACGTAATGAGCGTCAGGCCAGCCAAGGATATAGAGTGGTGCTCTGTGTCACTACCCATCCACCCACCACCACAAAGGACAAGTAAGCACAAAAGTACAGACATGTCATAAAGAAAGAAATTCCCATGATGGACATATGAACATATGCTTAACCTTAATCAGTACCAGACCAATTCAATCTAAAACAAATATCTAACAATATTAAATCAAATAATAAATCTGCCACCAAGAGAGAATGGGAGTATAAATAAGTATGACTGGTTTAGAGAGAAATGGGGCAACACCCAGAAAAACTGAAAACTAACTGATCTCACACCAGAAATTGTGTATACCATAGCAGAAGAAAATTAATTATCCATGAAAATCATAACAGACAAACCTGAGGAAAAGTAAATGTTTGTCAACAAGCATTTATCCATTCCAGACAGAAGTATTTTATACAGGAAAACACTGCATGATGGCTAAAAGTAGTGAGTCAGCCTGACACGTTTTTTAAAACATGAGCCTTGAGACTGAGTATGTGCTCAGCATAAGAGCACTTCTTGCTTTTCCAGAATGCCCATATTCAGCTCCCAGCACCCACAACCTCCTCAAATTCCAGCTCCAGGAGATCTTCTGGCTCACATGCATCCATACACACATGGAATACAACTACACAAACATATGCATATACACATAAGCAAACGAACAAAAAAACTTAAAATCCCATAAGTTTTAGAAATTTGGGGTGAAAAAGAAATTGAAAAACAATATATGCAGGCTAGAGATAAGAGACCCAACACTATCCACAGACACACATGCAGACAAAACACCGATGCACATTTAAAATATTTTCTGTGTGTGTGTGTGTGTGTGTGTGTGTGTGTGTGTGTGTGTGTGTGTGTGGTCTTAGCAGTTACACAACTTTTAAAATACACTTCATCAACACTTTTTATTTATAAATGTATGGGTGCAAGAGCACAAAAGAACGGGTTAAATGATCACACACTGTATCCCCAAGAAGCTTCCAAGAAACTCAGGTCAGGGATGAGAAAGGCGGCTCAGCAGTTAAGAGCGCTCGACGTTCCCGCAGAGGAACCAAGTTCAGCTCCCACCCCTCAATGGGAACAGCAGTCGCCTGTAAATTCACTTCCAGAGAATCCAACACCTTTTTCTATCCTCCTGGGGCACCGCACACTCAAGTGTACAGACATAAATGCAGGCAAACACCCATTTACGTAAAATTAAAATACATCTGTTTGTTTTTAATTCAGGGTGCTGGAGCGCTGTCTCGGTGGTTAAGCACACTCACTGCTCTTGCAGAGGACCCAGGTTTGATTCCCAGCACCCACGTGATGGTTCACAACCATCCATAACTTCAGTTCCAAGGGATTCAAAGCCCTCTCTGACTTACTCCAGCACCAGCCACTCACATGCTTCACATACATACACACAGGCAAAACAATAACACACATAAAAGTAGAATAAATAAGTTTTTAAAACCTGAAACCTTAAAAAAAAAAAAAACAGTTTGGAAAGATGGCTCAGTAGTTAAGAGCACCTGCTGCTCTTCCAGGGGTCTGAGTTTGATTCCCAGCACTGCAGGGCAGCTCACCATTGTCTGTAACTCTAGTTCCAGAGGATCAGATGCAGGTAAAATCCTCCTATACATAAAAGTAAATAAATCTTTAAGAAAAATTCAGGCCACAGAACACAGTAAGTTGAGTACAGAAAAAACAGTCGTCTTATTTTAGTTCTTCCATTTGAAAGGTATTTTTAGGATGTATGAGAAGCTATTAATAGTCAATTTGAATGGCACATGGCACTTTTAAAAATATTTCTGTGGCTTTTAGATTTATTTGAACACACGTGTACATCAGAACTAGGTTATGATGTTTAATTTTAAACGAATTTCAGAAATTGACGTTAAAAAAGTGCAAAATACTTGAAGCATGTAACCTATAGATGTCACAAATGCCAGCAATACATCCATTAGAAAAGGCATCAAGGAAAGCCAGTTAGGGATGAGTTCTAGCAAGTGGCTGGCATTTCAGCCCTGACAGTTTAAAAAGACAATTATACCACCTTGCTTGAAAAAAAAAAAAAAAAAAAAAAAAAAAAAAAAAAAAAAAAAAACTTAGGAGTGATGTCTTAGGGTTTCTCTAGCTGTGAAGAGACACCATAACCAAAAAGCAAGTTGGGGAGAAAAGGGTTCATTTTACTTACACTTTCATGTTGCTGTTCATTGTTGAAGGAAGTCAGGATAGGAACCTAGAGTCAGGCACTGATACAGAGCCATGGAGGGGAGCTGCTTACTGGTTTGCTTCCCATGGCTTGCTAAGCCTGCTGTCTTACAGAGCTCAGAACCACCAGTCCAGGGATGGCACCACCCACCATGGGCTGGGTCCTCCCCCACTGATCACTAAATGAGAAAATACCTTACAGCTGGATCTCATGGAGGCATTTCCTCAAGTGAGGCTCCTCCTCTCTGATGACTCTAGCTTGTGTCAAGTTGACACAAACCCAGCCAATACAAGTGACACAAAATTAAGATGGCAATTTTTGTAATAAAGAATTAAATTTTTATTAATGTGTACTCATGTGTGTGCAGGTGCTAGCAGAGGACAGATGTTGGATCCCCTGGAGCTGGAGTTACATGTGGCTGTGAGCCACCTGATGTGGGTGCTGGGAGCCAAACGCTGGCCCTCTGGAAGAGCACCTAACACTCAGAATTGCAGAACGGCCCTCCAGGCCCCACCATTTTTAAGATTTATTACTTCATGCATGAGTGTTTTGCCTGCATGAATGCAAATACATAGCGGTAATCTCGCCCATCCCCTGGAGCAGGAATTATGGGCAGCTGTGAACCATCAGACAAGGGTGCAGGAAACCAAACTTTGGGCTTCTCCAAGTGCAGTACAAAGGCTCAACCACTAAGCACTTCTCCAGCCTTCCAAACTATAGTCTTTTTTTTTTTTCTTCAAAGGCAGGCTTCCAAGATATCTTAATGAATGAAAATGACCAAAATAAATTTTATGCATGCATGCAATAATCAAATAAGAAGTAAATAATCTCAGCTGGGCATGATGGCGCATGCCTTTAGTCCCAGCACTTGGGAGACAGAGGCAGGCCTGGTCTACAGAGTGAGTTCCAAGAAAACTGTGGCTACAAAGTGAGACTACATAACAAAATTAAGCACATAAAAGTAGTTGTAATCTTACAGATCAAAAATTAAAGTTAGGCTATTAAAAAGAAAAAGTAAAACTTAGTAATCACTATTTTTGCAAATCCTTGCAAGTTAAAAAAAAAAAAAATTGAAGAAATTTCCCAAATGTCATTGAATAAAGAATGCTCAATATTAGGGTAGTTGGAAAATGTTCAGAAGATGAAAGTTGGTGTTAGGTGTTGCAGAATATACAACTATTTAAAAGTTCCAAGACAGTCCAGCAGGTTGACTTCACATAAAAAAAAAAAAACATTGCGACCCCAACCGCCCCAGTGTCAGACCAAAGCGCATGCGCAGCCCTGACGCATGCGCACTGAACGCAGGCCATAGGACGTGGAAGGGGAAGATGGCGGCGCCGGGCCTCCCCACGCCGCTGTATGGGCAGGTGGGTCTTGGAGCCTTCAGCGACGTGTACGAGCCTTCGGAGGACACGTTCCTGCTCCTGGACGCGCTCGAGGCGGCGGCGGCCGAGCTAGCCGGGTGCGAGGAGGGTGCGCGCCTCAGCGGGAGAGAGCGGGGTGTCCTGGAGGCGGCAGCCGGAAGTCCTGCCTCCTCCGGAAGTGGTGGGTCGGCCCACTTCCCGGTGATTGACAGCCGAGCGGGTGTGCGGGCGTCTGTGCTCCGCTCAGGTGCTGCTCGGGGCGGTGGTCACCCTGCCCGGCCTCTCGGCTGTCAGTCCGAAGACAGATTCAAGATGCGTCCGCAAACATTGCTGCTTTCCAATGTTAAAGTCTGTTTGGAGACCTACTTGGTGCATAAATATCATCCTGCGGCCACGGCAGGGCAGGGGTGATGAAGAAGAGAACTCTCAAACCCTTCTCCAGGAACAGCCATTAGCCGCGGCTTTTTGACAGATTTAAATAGTAACTTTTTTTAATGACAAAAGTAACAAATGCCTACAGGTTAAGTTTTCAGTGAAAGAATTTTGAGTGGAGAGCGGGTAAGATGATTTTGAGTGGAGAGCTGGTCAGTACGCTTGCTACCAAGCCTGTGACCCCGGTTCAGTCCCCAGGACACCCATGACAGAAGGAGAGAGACAACTCGTGCAGATGGTTCTTGGACGTTCAGTTGCAATGCTGAGGACCGTGCATGCCCCCCCACACACACAGCACACCACACACACACACACGATAAATCTAGTAAAACATTTTTGCTGCAAGGATCTGGGTCATTAACTTAATGACCAAGATTTAAACTGGGTTTCTCCAGAACAAAGTAGCCAACATGTTTACATGTCTTTTTTGTCTATGAAACGCTCTTAAAATCAGTCCTTCGTCATAGACGCTGGAGCATTTCTGTCTTACGGGACACTGGGTCGTAACTTCTGTGCTCAGAATAGCCCAGAAAGATTTACAACTCCACATTGCATTGCAGACTGTGCTGTAAATGGAGCTGACCGTGTTAGAAAGGCTCGGAATTCTCGTTATTTATGAGACGGTAATGGTTATTTCCAAGAAGAAGCCACCTGGTAAAATGCACAGATCTTAGAATGACCCCCTAACGGCTTCTCAGATGTGTGGGCGGTCCCAAAGCTAAAAAACCCTGCAACTGCTTCTTGAGTATTGTTTGAAAAGTTAAGTGCCAGGAATTCATGTAAATGTCATCAGGGCCATTAGTCCTGGCAGTTAAATATTGCTTTTGATGCATGTTCAGTGATCCAGGGAGTAAGTTTATTGGAAAATAATGTAAAGATTTTTTTTGTTTTAAGTTTAGAAAGCTACAATGTCTGTTGTATGTCTAGGTAAGTGGAGGACTTTTACTTTTACTCCTAGAATACACTGTTTGGTTTATTTAAGTACTGCAAGGTGATTGACAATCTGTTACACACCTAAACTATTACCAGGTTTAGCTACACAACAATGAGCACCAAGTGGTTGCCAGAAATTGTAAATTTCCCTTATATTCCCGTGTATTTGCAAGTGAATGGTGATGCTGGAGAAATGCATTATATAGCACCAGAGTGTCGTCCACGAAGACTCTCTTCATAGGAATGAACTAAATATCTTGGTTTTTGTTCTCAGAGTGGAGATATGCCTTGAAGTAGGAGCAGGGTCTGGTGTGGTGTCTGCATTCCTGGCCTCCATCATAGGTCCTCAGGCCTTGTTCATGTAAGTACGTGATGTCCGTCCACATCTACTGGGTAACTATGATGACTGTGGCTGTTTGGGTGAAAGATTTTAAATAGGGGCTGGAGAGATGGCTCAGAGGTTAAGAGCACTGACTGCTTTTCCAGGGGTCCTGAGTTCAATTCCCAGCACCCACATGGTGGATCGCAACCATCTGTAATGAGATCTGGTACCCTCTTCTGACCTGCAGGCATACAGAGCACTGTATACATAATAAATAAATAAATCTTTAAAAAGAAAAAAAAAGATTTTAAGGAGACAAGGTCTCTGGTAGTGTTTCAGTAATTCCTTAATTCACAAATGACATTCACCCCAGTAATAATTTCATGTTTATCTCAAGCTTTGTGATTTTAGAAGCATCATAATTTTATCTACACTTTGAATCGTTTTTTTTTTTTTTTTTTTTTTTTTTTTTTTTTTTTTAGATAGTTTGACTGTTAGAAAATAGCTGGAAAGTTGGATTTCTTTGCAGAGACAAAAACCAGGGAATGGACATCAGAAAATTTTGCCGTACACAGAACAAATGTGTTTCTTTCCATTTGTAATGTCCTATGTATTTTGTGTAGCAGTTTCCTATCAGTAGTTTCTTTCCATTTCCATTTTGCTGGGTGCTTAAGTTATACTTAAATTAATTCCTTCAGATGAGTGTAGTCAGATTTTTCTTTTTTAAGCAGTGTTTGTCATCGGTATAATAAGCCTTTGTTCTCTTTTTCTTTGCCATTATGAAAACATCCTAATTCTTGTTTGTGCCACGTAGAATTAACAAAACATTCCTAATAAGTAACAGATTTGCTTCTGCACATTACTGTTATAGGTGCACTGACATCAACCCCCAGGCAGCTGCCTGTACCCTGGAGACAGCGCGCTGTAACAGAGTCCACATTCAGCCAGTAATTACAGATTTGGTGAGCTTTAACCCTTCTTCAGTAGTAATCAGTTACCTCTCACTTAACTAAAGGTCAACAAGTTTCAGTGCAAATAAACCTTAGTAATTAACACTTTTTGCTTTTATGAGACAGTCTTGTGTAGTCATGGAGCCCAGGCTAGCCTCAAACTTATGATATAGCTGAAGATGACCTGAACTCTCTTTTTTGCCTGTTTTTATTTTTAATTAAAATTTTTTTTTTATTTTTGGGATTATAATTACCTAATTTCCTCCTTCCATTTCTCCCTCCAAACGCTCCCATATACCCCTCCTTGCTCTTTCAAATTCATGACCCCTTTTCATTGTTGTTACATGCATATATGTAAAATACAAACACGTGCATGCATATATATGTATGTATATGTGTGCATGCACACACACACACACACACACACACACACACACTCCTAAATCCTGCTCAGTCTATATAATATTACTTGTATGTTTTTAAACATGTCCATTTGGTATTTGGTAGATGTTGGAGTTACAGAGTTAAGAGCTTTACATCCAGCAAGTAATTCACTTCTGACCATAAACTAAATGTGACACTGTATCCAGTTCACACTTGCTTAAATTGTAAAAGCTTTAGGCACAGCTGAGACAGAACTCAGATGATACAGCATATCCTTTTCTTAGCTCTGAGTGTCTCTCTGGTGTCTCTTAGGCAATCTCACACCCACATGGTAACGAGATGTTTGCATTTCTGTGTCTTATTTATTTATTAGCAGCACCTTGTGAAAAGAAGCGTCCCAATAGTATACTTGGAATGAGAGCTGTTTGGGCAAGCTTGGGTCCCGTGTCTAAGGACTGGCATTTGAAGAGTGGCTTTGACCTGGGTCATAGTCCCCAAACCCCACGCCACACAGATCTTGTCCAGGCTTGAGTGGAAAATGAAAAGAGATAAAATATCCGTCTTAAGTTATTTTTGCTTCTCTATTGCTGTGAAGAAGTCAGGGAGGAGGGGGGGGGAAGAGGAAAGAGATGAGAGGAGACAGACAGACAGCGAGAGACTGCGACTGGCTTGGGCTTTGGAAACATCAAAGTTTCAAAAAACCACGTGCAGTGACACATCTCCAAAAAGGCCATAAGAGCCTGTGACGCCACCTTATTCAGACCCCTATAGCCCCATCACAAAGGGATGTAAGCAGAAACACGGGAACATGGTCCTGGCCACAAGTGAAAGAAATGACAGCTTTGGAACCACTCTTTGCTGTTCATTATTTAGCCAGGCCCTCGCTGTGCCAGTCTGTCTCGGAACTTTCTGTGTAGTTGTAGATGACCTTTAATTTTAGTTTCCCCTGCTTCTGCCTCCCCAGTAGACCACTACACCCCCACTCCATTGTTTATTTTATCTTTTATAACATTATTTATTGTGGGGGAGGCATGTTGAGGGAGGGGGTGTTTTGCCTGCATGCATGGCTCTGCACCACATTCCTCCAGTGTCCACAAAGGCCAGCAGAGGACATTGGATCCCCTGGGACTGTAGTCACAGATGGTTGTTGGCCACCATGTCAGTACTGGGAATTGAACCTTAGTCCTCTGCAAGAACAGCCAGTACGCTTAACCTCTGGAGCCATCTCTCCAGCCCTCTACTGGTTTTTTTGTTTGTTTGTTTGTTTTTTTTTTTAAAGAAGTTCAGATTATGCCTTTCAAGTTTCAGTTGTTAAAATATTTTAAGGGTATTAGTAGGATTTGGATAATTTTAGATTTGCAGAATATTTTTAGTCATAACAGTGAAATGCTGTTGTTCATAAGCAAAACACATAATGGCATGAAACAGGTGGACACAGGAAACAAAATGCTTTTTGTGTTACTTTTCTGGGGTTGATGAGAAATAAAAGTCTCAAAAAGTTCAGGGTAGCTTTGAACTGTCTTTTGTTTAAGACTAACTTTCTACTGATCCGTCTGTCTTTACCTCCCAATGGTAAATGTCTTTACTAATGTATGCCATCACACTCGGCTCTGTGTGCTCTTGCCCAGTGTGTTCTCACCCTGATGAGGACAGGCTGCTTTCCTACTACTGTTCCACTTTACAAAAGATTTTGCATCTTAGAATTAACCCCAAGAGACAAGAAATTCTTTTCCTATCAACAAACGCTAGTGTCGAGCAAAGTGCTCAGGTTACTGACGTTGGATCAGCATGGCGATGTGGGACTTCCCATTTTCCTGGTGTGTCTGTAAGTAATATTACATCTGGTTTTTGATGAAATAGTAAAACTTCAGACAGAACAAACCCAGATGATTTTTGAAACAAGAGGTGTCTTTGAAAAAAATGGCAATGTTAATAAAAATATCTCTAGGATTATAGCCCGGGTCTCCTGTCCAGCTCTAGAAGTCACACTGCAGCTAAGGGATGTGACTGGAGGTTCACGCTGGAGTTAATTCCTTAGTAGTTAGTGTTGATTCTGAACTCAGTTTTGACTTGGCAAAGCAAGAAATAAGAGGCAGACTTCAGCAGACGTGTTAAAGCAACTTACAAACTCTTTAACATTGCAAATACAGAAATTGTTACAGCTGACATATGAAACAAACCCCATCTTTAGCTGAGACTTCATGTTTAAAAAGTAGCAACCAGCTGGGTGGGCATGGTGGCTCACTCCTGTACTCAAGAGTGTAAGACAGATTTCAAGTTTAAGGCCAGCCTGGGCTACATAGTGTGACCCCTTTCTGAAAATCAAAAAGGTACAATTATTGTTCTTCTTTTTTAGTTTTAGAATACAGTCTTCAAAAATGCACATTAGGTATTGTTTCTCCCCATTCTTCGTGCAGAGCAAACACGCTTTACAGCTCCTCAGTGTCGGTTATTCGGAGTTGTATGCCGGTAAGGCCTGCCCAGTTATCGATCTGCCATGTGAAGTAGCGAATTATCCTCCTCTTTTTGCTGACGTCATGCTGTTCTGTTTCATTGTCATCTCTTGGCAGAATGTCATGTGCTTCATGCAAGGAAACCACAGTTTGGACTCATCTGTAACCTCAGGGCCCCCATAAGTGTCTCCATAGGAGATAAAGTCTGTGTTTTGTTACATGAATTTAACCCTTGCCGCGCCCCTTCTTTTTCAGTTCTTGGAGATGTTAAGGCTGGAAACTGACAAGGCCTGGCTAGAGCTACCTGTACTAGACACTCAGTCCTTGGTTTCATTTAAATAAATTTGATTTCAAGAGTGTCTTGTTTTCTCTCCAGCACAGCAGCTGAGCCTGAGTCTACTGCTGTTTCAGCCAGTAATTGTGGCTCCACAGTTACTGGCCCACTTCTGTGGCAGCTGCCAGCAGGTACCTCCTGCCCCTGCCGTCAAAGTAGTCTTAACTAAATCTATACTCTTCTATTTATCAGTTAGACTCAGGAGTCAGAGGCTGGAGTGCAAAGCTGCTAGCTCAGAGGCTGAGGAACAACTAGCTGTCTTCACAGGCTTCTCCAAAAGAGAACATCCTTCCACTCCACCAAACCAAACACCCCCCCACACAAACCAGCCTCCCACGCCCCACCCCACACACACACAAACCAGCCTCCCACACCCCACCCCTGCTGCCACACCCAAAGTCCCTCCCTACTACTTCCTGTGCATCTCTATCCTTATTCCAGATGCCCTCTGACTGTGATGACTTCCTGTCAGCTCCACCTCCTGACCCAAGGATGAGTTTATTTAGTTAATACAAATGCAAACTCAGGGTTCACAGCGTTATATCTCACAACAGTTTAAGATTTGTGTCCTCTTCCTTTGTGTAGCATCCAGCCTACAGTTATTACTGGATTGCTGGACAGTACTTCAGGAGACACTGAGAGTTACAAAGCAAACTTCTCTAGTTTCCTTAAACAGCATTTCTGGAAAATTATGTTTATAGTTCTTTTAAGAAACTTAATTTTCGGGGCTGGAGAGATGTAAGAGCACTGGCTGCTCTTCCTGAGGTCCTGAGTTCAGTTCCAAGCAACCACACGGTGGCTCACAACCATCTGTAATGAGATCTGGTGCTCTCTTCTGGCATGTAGTGCAGGCATGCATGCAGACAGAACACTGTATAGATAATAAATAAATGCATCTTAAAAAAAATAAGAAACTTAATTTCTTTATGAAACTTAAAACAATTACACACACACAGTTATTCCCTCTTTCTTGCACTTTGGAGGAGCAGATGAATCGTCTTTCTGTTTGCAAACAAAGTTGTATCCAAATTATTTCAAAGGATTGGAAGTAAAAAAAGATTACTTCTGTAAGCATAGCCTCAAAAAAACAGGTCTTAGGAGTTCTCTTTGAATTACAGGTTGCCAGGCTAATCGGGACAATTAAAATGGGGTTATAGAAATCTGGATTAGGAAATTCTCAGATAACACTTTATAATATATGAATACCACTTTATAATATATGAATACTTTATAATATATGAATATAATATATTCATATAATATATGAATATATAATATATGAATACAGTGTTCATAACCCAGTCCAGTGTATATCCAGTGCTTAGTGTGATTTCCTTTCTTTTTTTTTCCTTGTTCCATAGAAAACTGAGCCATGGAAAAGCTCAAAGATCTTCATAAGCCAAATGCTGGCTGTTTTCAGTCTCTGACCACTGTGTCCAATGCTTCCTTCTCTGACGTCCAGTTCTGTCAGTCAAACATTTACAAGTAACTGAAGAAGTGAAAACACAGTCCATCCTTGGTGCTCTGTGTTATTCAGATACATTCTATGTCATTGTATAAAGCTTTTCCCTTGGGACCTGGGGAGCCGCCTTAGTTGGTGCAGTGTCTGCCTTACAAGGACCCAAGTGAGATCCCAGGCATGGTGGCCTGTTGTTTATATTTCCACCTAGTTCTACATGGGAAGTAGAGACTGGTGGGTTCCTGGACTCTTTCCAGCTGACCTGCCTAGCACAGCAGTGAACTTCCAGGCCAGCCTGTCTCTAACAGGGTGGGAAGTTCCTTAGGAAAGATACCAAGGTTGTCCTCTGACCTCCATGTGTACACGCACGCGCGCGCGCGCACACACACACACACTTTCTTAGTTACAAGAAATCATTGTGTGAGTTAGCAGAGACAGGTGTGAAGGGAATATTTTCCACAGAATCAGAGCTTGCTGTGTCCTCAAGCTGTCTTGTAAACGTGAACTCAGTGTGAACACCTTGGCTGTTGAGTAGAAGCCATGTTCAATATCTGTTCACGCTCATGACTTTACTCATTATTAGCTTAAGTTCATATAAACTGCATCTGCATAAAAAATTAAAATATTTTGTCTGTAAGTACTTTACTCCGCTGAAAACATGAAGTGTTTTTTGTTTGTTGGTTTGTTTTTGTTGTTTGTCAGAGACAGGGTTTCTCTGTGTAACAGCCCTGGCTGTCCTAGAACTCGCTTTGTAGACCAGGCTGGCCTCAAACTCATAGAGATCCGCCTGCCTCTACCTCCTAAGTGCTGGGATTAAAGGCGTGCCCCACCACTGCTAGGCTTGAGAGTATTTTGAAAGAATTATTATTTAAATCAGAGTCCAGCTTAACCTGTATTGTTGCTGCCTTCAGGTCCAAGGCTTGCTGCCCAGATTGAAGGGGAAAGTTGATCTGCTGGTGTTTAACCCCCCCTATGTAGTGACTCCTCCTGAAGAGGTAAGGCCCGCAGCGGAATGTAGGCATGCTTTCAGCAGTTGTGTTTGTGAGACAAGATGAACTTCCTGTGACTCCGGTCTCTGCTGCTAACATTCCTCTGCTATACAGAGGTTGTCAGGGCCAGATACTGTGAGTGACAAAGAAGGAAATGTGTACAGTGCACAGTCCATCTGGTCAGAGTTCTCACCCAGATCAGGCCACGGCGTTCAAACGGATCCATTACCGTAAATACCAAATTTATAAAGCAAATTTTAAAATACTTCTGATCAACTGTAAATTCACCAATGGTGTCCTCCTCAAAGTCTTGGGTTTCATCCCTTCACTTTATCAGAAATTAAAAGTGTGGGACCAATCCTGGTCATTCTTAGGGAAGACTATAAATAATGTATTTAAGAATCTCCAAGGTGAGGAGTTAGGCCAAAACCACATCCCCCAGAAGGTGAAGGCACACCACTAGCTTCTCTCTCTCTCTCTCTCTCTCTCTCTCTCTCTCTCTCTCTCTCTCTCTGTCTCTCTGTCTGTCTCTCTGTCTCTCTCTCTGTCTCTCTGTCTCTCT